CGCAGCTGACAATAGTCCCCAACAAATGGACTATTTCCTTCTGTTGTTCGTTAAAAACTACAGTGAGCAGCTGTTTTAGGAAACTAATGAGCCTTTTTTCAATAAATGTTGAACAGAACTGAATTTTTCTCGATGTGTCAGAGAACACATATGTAGGAGAGATTCTGAATGTGCAGAAAGTTTTGAACATGAGCAGAAAACCTGCTGAGACACAGGAACTGTAAAAGTCCTGGAGTTTCTAACTGACTCAAAATGAAATGATTAATCATTGAGGTGAAAAGGTGCCACATCATGCACGTGCAGAGGGGGGTGCGATGGCTGCTTGAGCACCTGCCCTTTGGTCAATGACAAATTTAATTAATTAATACATTTTTAAATGTGTAAAGGCCTGTAGTAAAATGAATGAATAATAATTTTGCAGTAAATAAAATGACCCACTTTATGCTCACCTTCAGACACCGTCAGTGATTCAGCAGCTCTGCCTGCGGGACGCCTGCCATTCCGCCGGTAAGAGGGGTTTACCTCAGTGTGCTTGTTGTGGGTTGTTAGATGTATTTTACAAGAAAGATGCAAAGAGAGCAGCACAGTAGTTGTACATTGCTGTGTGTCGCCTGTAGAAGTCTACACACAGATAAACAAAGGTGCTCTGTTCACTTTGTTCTTGCTGGTTGAAAGGGGGAGAAAGGGAGAAAAGTTTCACGGACGTTGTGAGGTCTGGTAATTTTATGTAATTTGGCTAAAAACGTTTCATTCAGAACAGTATTGGAATAGATTTAGACTTCATTTTAACTGTGTTTACGACACCAAACCAACTATCTAAACTCAATAACTGGAAATCCAAGTAATAAGGTCAGTGTCAGTGTAAAATAAATATTCCTGACATCAAAGTAAAGAGTGAAGAAGAAATGGCCCTATATAGGTTTCAGAAAAAGGTATGAAATGTTAACATGAAAGGTAAATGCTGCTCTGTCATGGTTATTATGAGCCAACAGAATGAACACACACACACACACCTGTCTATAGATTTGTCTCACTCTTACCCCTGCCTTGGTTCAACCTCATCCGTCCTCCCAGTTCTGTATCCTTCTCAGATTATTTCCCACACTTTTTGGAATCTGGCATCTTATTTCCTCTACCTGCAGCTCTCGGTGTGCAGCCGTCTCCGCGAGCGTCTTCCTAGCAGTCAGCCTCGGCAGCGGCTGCAGCTACAGCAGGTCAGTCACAGTGAGCCAGTCCCAAACACTCAACAATCTTTACATCTTGTCATGGTCACATATTTGTTTAATCAGCTAACATATCTCCAATGTCACAGATCACCTCCAGTAGTATCAGCAGCAACAACAGCAACTGTTCCCTGTAAGTTATGCCAGCCCACAGTGTTTTAAAGCTAGACCTGGGTATTCCCTGTGTTTCTTTTTCAAAACTGTCACAGCATTTGCTGATGTGTCGATACAGAAGAATCTGTATAAGCACATGTTAAGACCCCGGCCGTCAGGCCGCAACAAAGAAGGAGGATGCATCTCAAGTTTACCAAAGTTTAACATAAATTTATTTAAAACAACAGAAAAGAAAAGGACAATGTGGTAGAGAGACTAGCGTCTGGGCGGGCAGGCCTAAATAGGTTGGGCTCACTGGCCAGGTGCTTTTGATTTTCATGTGTTATTTTGCAACAGATACTGGTTGGTGTTTTCTTTTCTTCCAGAGTATAAGGGGATTTACAGACAATCAAACAAGGACAATATGAATGGACTCTGGACAAGGACGGTGTGGAGACGTCTGGATTGCATCGACACTCCACTGAAAGTCGACACTGCTGAGGAGCTGCAGTGGAATATCTTCCCGTGTCTGCTTTGATATAGATATGAATATATATTTGAAAGAATAATACTCATCATATTCTTTTTGTGTTAATTGTGTAAAGACTTTCAGTTATGGAGTTAATATATGGGGACCTCAGGTTTTTTCTTTTTTTCTTGATGCTTAGGGATAAAGGGTCTAGGCAGGGAAAGGTCCGTTGGAGGGTCCGATGGGTTGACTAGCCTGAATTCGGACATTGTTTTGATTTTATTTCATTTCCTGAGGTTTTCACATGTGTTGGCTAAACCATATCTCTGCATAGACTGATAAAGATGTCTTTTATTAATTAAACTGGAGTACCATGCGTGGCCACCTTAATTTTCCTGTCTAGATTGTCTTGAAGGGCATTTTGGAATGAAAGCTGCCGGACAGGTTTTTCGTTCTCACACTCCATGAAGTTGATATATTGTTAAAAATAATACTGCAAGAAGCATGTTGGAGAAATTGTTATCTTTTTGTTTTTTGAGACTCAATTAAGTCTCGCAGGTGGGAATATGTAGTGTACAATATTTATGTATTTGACAAAATAGCACTGTAGCAGCAGGACAGAGGGTCAGTGACCTTCTAAGGGGAGAGCAGTGATCGATGGTTATGTAGGGACTGAACCCTTCTATAGAATTTGACCTCTGACCCCTTGTTTTGTTACCTCAGAATAGTACTGTACCCTTCTATGGGTTTGACCTTTTACTTTGCAGACTCAAACCCTGCTATGGTAGCTAACAGATACTAAACATATCCTATATAAGCGATGTTTGATGTACAGAGAGACAGAGTGGCCATCAATTCAATGTGCCCCTTTTATACTTTGAGCACCTGCCCTTCCAGAGGTCTCTGCACGGCCCTGTCCCACATGCACCTTTAAACAGGTTGCTTCCACAAACAAAGACACAAAGGAGGGAAGAATAATGCTGCGTTCCAAGCAACTTGGAACTCGGAAATTACCGATCTCCAACAAGAAAAACTATCCTGGAACGCCACTTGAAGTCAGATTTCCTACTTGTGAACTTAAAGAAAAAATATGTGCCCCGCCTTCACGAGTAGCAGCTGAATGACCTCACAAAACAAAGTCAGCGGCCATGGAAGCACACACTGTAAATGGTAAACCATAAACTAAAAGGCAACAAAAAATATATTTGCATGTATTGAAATTAAAATAATACGTATATGGTCATGTAGTAAATGTTGTGGGATTGCGTGGCGCGGGGACAGAGAGGACCCAAATGCAAAGTTCGGAGGGAAGGAGGTTTATTGAGGGAGAAGGGGGTAAAGGGACTGGAGGGGAGGAAGAGGTGGATGTCGGGAAAGCACAGGCACGGGGAACCAAGGAGACAGGGGGCCGGGGAGCCGGGGAACACAGGGGCCGAGGAAGCGAGGAGAGGCGGGGGAACAGGGAGGACGCCGTGAGGGAAGTCCGAGGAGGAGTGGGCCAGTGGATGAGCCCAGCCGACTGAACGGAGGACGAGGGTGAGTGAACCTGTGGAATGTGGAAAAATATGAAAGCCTGAACATGGGGGTGGCACCGGGTATGGAGCAACTACGATAAAGCGAGGATGGTGTGGAGAACCGGGGTTGAAATACAGGCAGTCATGAGGTGATTACTGGCAGGTGTGGCAGGCTGACGAGGTGGCTGATGAGTTGCAGGTGCAGGTAGTCGGCTGGGCTCAGGAACAGAGGGAGAGAGAGAGAGAGAGAGAGAGAGAGCACACAGGGGAGAAAACACAGGGAGGCAGGCAGGGAACAGAAAACCAAGGAAAAAAGCAGAAAAACTGATAAAAAGGAGAAAAAACCAGGACACTCACCGTCAGCCGGGCTGCCACCACAACAGTAAAACCAGTTCTGCATGTACATTAATATAGAAATATGTTAGGCCTATTAGGTAGCTGGCTACAGTAAAGACTCTCATAAAGTCATCTTCTCTGCATAAAAGTTATTGTTAAAAATGCCAAAACATTAAGAAGTGTAATCTACAACACTGACTGACTTGAGGGGTCCACAGTCCACTAGTAACGTATAAGCTGTCAGTTGTTGCAGTTGCCTTCCTTTGAAGTAACACCTAAAGCACTGCTGAGGGTGCAACTGTGTGCACTTTGTCACGGTCAGCCATGGTTTTCATGCACCACCACGCAGTCAGAAGTTTCAACTGGGAAAAATCCCCGGTCTTGAAGGCGGCATAAATCATGTGCTGACTCAGCAGGGATGAATATTAAATGACAAAAGTTTAACTATTTATTTATTTATTCTCTTTTTCTATTTTGAATTGTCACCTGCTGCCTGAATTTTGTGTTTCCCTTCAAATAAATAAAGACATTTCCACCATAAATTGGTGCAGAAAAATTCACCAGAATGCAGGAAACTGAGATTTTAATGCTCAAAATCGTCTGGACACACATTTTCTGGATACCTGGTTAGGTTTCGTGTCCTGGTTTAGACTATGATATCTGGAGGTACATACTTTACTCTGATTACCGACTTGGCTTTTCATCTTTAAGTGCTTTAAATTTGAGTTTTGCTGCTGAACTTTTTGAACCCAATTCCTGATGATTGAAGAGCGATGACCTCTGACCCCTGTGGTGGGTAATGTCACCGACCTCAGCGACGCCTCATCTCTCTAAACTAAACTGAAATGTTGGCAACCCTGTATTTAGCTAGAATTAGCTATAACATTGGCAGACCTGAAAACATATATTAATAAATATAGTGTTATTATAATAATCAATTTTATGATGATTGTGGAACATTTTATTGAAATGTTATTTTAAAAAACTAAATCGATCTCTGTCTTGAGAAACATTTTAACCTACTAAGATCATCTTCTCGCCCCACCTCATGTGAGCACACATATTTATTACAGTGATAATTTGTTCAATCACACCATTTGTCTATTTTACAGTGTTAACTACCAAACTAGTTAGACAGCTCTTTCGTGTTTGGGCCATAAGGAGTGAACTACACCAGCCTGCTTTCTGATTAAAAGCTTGTCTGGGATTTGTACAGAAGAATGTGTCAGAAGGAAGACAGATGTTTAGGGTGGGGACTGTGGCTGGGAAGGGAAGAAAAAGAATGTTATTTTAATATAGTTTATTAATAGTCACATTCAGCTGGAGAGTCTTAACAGGTTGTACAAACAGAATAATATGACAGAACTGAAGAGGCACAACAAAGCCAGCGACTGGGAAACATGACTAAACACACAGCTGTTCAATCTATATAACTTACAGCACAAACAATAACTTTCAGCACTTATCATAGTCATGATAAGTGCAAAAGAGATCATTTAAAATACAGAAGTCATCAGAATATAATAATAAATGGCCTCAATCTTTCCAGATAGTAAAGGTTAACACACAACACACAGCTGTTTACTTGTTGAACCAATGCAAAAACTCTTCAATAAAGTGTAAAGAGCAAACTAATAAGAATAAAAGACAACAACATCACAGTCATATAATGTGGGAAATAGTTACAGATGATTTCATATGATTAATAATTTCCATCACGTGACAGTCTAATGAAATCCTAATTCATAACGAATGTCTTCAACCTCTCACAAAAGAATTACAGAGGAATTATTCTGAATTAAAAATCTCTGTTGCCATCAATCTTTTTTTTTAATGTACACTAATTATCCACCCTGTGTTGGTAGAACAATAACCACACTGATACAAGTAACGAGAATCACTGAATCCTGGTTTCCAACAAATGTTTAAATGTCTCACCTGACTATAAATCAAGAAGCCCATTTTTCCCTAGTTGGTGAAACCAATAACATCCAGCTCCTGCTCTGCAGTCACTGTATTTCTTCTATTTGTTGCTTTGACTCTCTGAAACACTACATTTGTTCCAGACAGCCTCAGCTACCTTCTGTATGGCTTCCAGTGAAGATTCTGCTCCTTCAGCTGCAGTATATCCTGTCAGAGCGCCCTTTACTAAACCACTTTGAGCGGCCAACGCAACTGTTCCTCTTCCTCTCTCTGTTGTTACTAGTCCTGGAACAGCAAATGCAACCATCTCTGCCACACCAAGCAAAGCTCCTAACAATGCACCTGTTGCAATACCTGCTGATCTGATCAGTAACCTCTCAAAAGCACTCTGTTTAGCCTGCTTTCTGATCTCTTCCTGTGACATGTTTCCTGATGACTCTCTAATGCACTCTTCCTCTCTCTGTATTTCCCTGTTCACTTCTTGTAGCATCTGATTGGTGTAGCAGCTTTCTTTGTTTGCCTCAGTCATCTTGTCTAGTGTGTTGAGTATCTCTGCCACGTGGAACTGGTTGCTTCTGTAGTTGTCCCCTTCGTTTATCTTCCAGTATTTATTATCGACCACGTGACACCGACCTCCGCACTTCTTCACCAGATCACTCAGATCTTTAAGCTGACTGACAAACTCCTCAATTTTCATTCCTTCCGGGAGCTGGTCACCATGAGTGAAGACAATTACGGCATACTTTAGAGCATCTTCAGAGAAATATTGGCATATTTTAGTGATGACAGCCTCCTCATGCTCTGTGAATTTCTCCACTTTAAACACAATGAGAAAAGCATGAGGCCCAGGAGCGCACTCTGTCAAACACCTCACTATCTCAGGCTTCATGTCGTCCTCAGACCTGCCTGTGTCAAACAAACCGGGAGTGTCGATCAAAGCGATGCTTCTTCCGTTGACAGATTTGATTTTTGTTTGACATTCACTTGTTCCAGAGATGGGAGAATGGTCTATGGTGAACAGTTTCTCTCCCAAGATGGTGTTAGCCAGGCTGCTTTTCCCAGCTCCAGTTTTTCCCAGCAGGACGATCTTCCTTGAAGGCAGCACTAGAAGAGAAATGACTCTGGATAAGTCGAGTAGCAGTAGTGAAAAATGCCAAAAGCTACCAAAGCATGCTAACATGTTCACAGTGACTATGCTGATGTGACAGAAGCCAGGGAGGCTGTGCAGTGAGTAAACTTCACTCCCTGACACCTTAAAAGATGCACTGGTGACCGATGCTAGTGCCCAAGGGTTTTAGCCCCCTCGTCAGCGTGTCTGCCTGCTGTACCTGAGGTTGCCGGTTCGAGTCAGGACCGTGCAGTACGTTCTCGGGACCACTAACATACTGATGCGCCTTGTGGCTTAACGTGAATCATGGTCACTGTTTTATTTTAGTATGTTAGCATGCAACAATTGCTAACTAACACGAAACAAAAAGTACAGTACGGAAGATACAGTAATAAATAAAAAATCTAACTCATAGATTAAGTTAAATACAATACACATTATACATGCATTTACTTTTATACTGATATGAAAAATATATGATAAATGACAATTATTTCTCTGTCTTTATACAGTATATACATGCAAAGGAAATGCACACAACATTATGTGTTTAGTATTATGTTGCACTTGTTTTTTATTGAGGCATTTAAAATCTTCCATTGCACACCTGAGGCTGAATGTCATTTGTTTTGCAATATTGAAATTATCGAACAGATAGTATGTTGGCCTGACGATGGCGCCAGATAAAAAGTTAAGCGATCATCACAGTGATTACACCTGAGGTACTGGATAGATAAAGCTCTGTGTATAGCAGAGTCATGTACAACAAATCCCTTTACTCACTGTAGAACACATTTTAGGAACTTGAACTCCACTTAGGTATTTATATTTTATTCTGCTTATACTGTATGTCTACCCAACTACATTTCAGAGGATTCCACTACACCTATCTGGCAGCTTGGTTATATAAAGCTAGGATTAAAATATGATGCGTTGTTAAAGATTAATCCAACAGTACACCAAGTAGTTAAAGGTGGCTCCACCTCAACCAGCTACAACAGTAAAATTCTACTTTCTACACATTCATTCACACTTTTCTTTGACTTTTTAGTAGTAAATTTAGTCAATTTAATTTTTTTAAAAAGTACATTTTCCAGATAATCCTTAAATGCTTTTACTTTAGGTACATTTTCAATGCAAGACGTACTTAATTAACTACTATTACAGTATGACGTTGCTGCTTTCACTGCATAAAGAATATGAATACTTCATTCACAGCTACAGCAATGAAGCAAGCTCACCGTCCATGTTGTCAAAAAGACATCACTGTCGGCCACCGGGGTTACTGCTGGATGTTTCTCCTCCTGCTCTCTTGCTGTGGTTTGACTATACTTTAGTTTCCTGTTTGACTTGTTTGGAGGTAGCTGAATAATGAAATGACTCTCACATGTGAGGTTCTAATACAGGCCTGATTATACAAATTATGGCAAAAAAAAATAAAAATCATGAGCATAATAAATAATTAAGTTAATGTTCAATGCAATGAATTCAAGTTCATTTTTACATATAAACTGTTATTACTACTACTATTTGGACTATCATACAAATTAATACAACACCTTACAGCTCTATGATGAAATTAAGTAAAAACGGAAATCTTTAAAATGTAGATTCCTGTGATGATGAGATGTGGACTGAAATAAATATAGGTAGGTTAATTTCATTCATGCCCTTAATCACTTCCTGAAAAAGATTAATAAAAGAAATCTCCTAAACTCAATCATATGTATTGCAGTTGCAACTTTATTGAAATATGCATATATAACAGGAGAATGAGAAAGCAGGCCCAGAACTACTGTATTATCAGAAATATATTGTTTTACAATTTCAAGTTTGTGCTTTACAATTAATGCAGTTATGCAGAAACACAAAGAATTTACACATTGTTTGTTGCTCTTGATTTATGGGATATGGTCCTAGCTTTGCATTATAATTTTCTACTAAAAAGATCATCTCTACATACTGTATCTGTCAGGGTTTGCTGAGTGAGTGCAGCAGGAGTGAGCCCAAACGCAAGACACTTGTGAGCTGAGATGGAGTTCAAGGTTTTATTCATCCCAGGCACGACAACAGGTAGCAACACAAGACAGGACAGGCCAGACATGAGACAATAACCAGACAGGGAATGAACAGACACAAGTTACTCAACACTAAACTACAGAGTAATATAAACAAGCAGACAGATCACAAATGAACTAACACCAACAAGGAGCACAGACAGAAGCTAAGTACACAGACCAGGAGTAAACACTTAAGACATGAACTAAGGCACAGGACTAGGAACACAGACATGGAACAAAAACACAGACTCCACAACAAGACACACGGACAGGACTGAAACCCAGACACGCTCAGGACAGGATCGTGACAGTATCTATTCCAGTGATCATTGGTTCAGTCTCATCATTTGTCTGTTTTACTTTTGCAAACTAGTTAGACAGCTCCTTAGTGTTTACGGCTGTGGAATGACACAGCGAGAAATGGTTATGTAAAAAAGTAAAATGGTTATTTAGACATACAGCCCACCTTCACAATCTACAGCTGCTTGCTTTCTTTTTCAAGGTACAAGGTAGGATAATTTGTCACATTACAGTGCAGAGGATGAATTTAAGTTTGAATATCTCATCTTTGGGGAAAAGCTGCTGCAGTCTGGTGGTGCGGCAGCAGAAACTTTGCTTCGACTCTGTTTTGGTCTTGCCCTCATCTCCGTTGTCTGTCTCATTTACTGGGCACTATACATCACAACGGTATAATATATATAACCTTTATTTAAACAGGAAATGTCCGATTGAGATACAATCTCTTTTACTGTCACGGTTAGGTGTGGGTGAGGCAGATTGGAGGACCCAAACGCAGGACGCAAGGCAGGAAGAGGTATAGTACAAAGGGGTTTTAATGAACGAACCAAAAGCGAGCACACTTACAGGTGAGTGGCTGAATACAGAGTCCAAAAACTCAGGTAGTCCAAACAGAGATCCAAAGGGAGCAGGGTAACAGGGAGACACGACAAACAACAGGAGACAGCATACATGACCCGACTAAGACAAGACAGAAACACCAGGTATATGCACTACCATAACCCACTGTCCAAGGAGCAGACAGAAGGGGACCAGAGTACAGGGGGGAGGTCAGACAGGCAAGGCAAGGCAGTTCAGGAGGCTGTCCGAGGCGGCCAGAGGGGAACAAAAGTTCAGGGGGTCGTCCTGGAGGATAACCCAACGGACCAGGTGGGCAACAGAGTTCAGGGGGTCGTCCCGGAGGGTGACCCATGAGGCCGGGCAAATCAGGGGGAGAACAGAGTTCAGGAGGCCGTCCCGGAGGAACCCAACAGGCCGGGCAGAACAGGGAGGCAACAACGTTCAGGAGGTCGCCTGGGAGGACGACCCAACTGGGCGGGAGGACCAGAGGGTCCACAGAGTTCAGGTGGCTGTCCCGGAGTACGGCCCTGGAGGCCGGACTGTTCAGGGGGACGGCAGGAAGGCCAACAAAGAGGCTGGAAACCCACTGGAGGCCGACGGGAAGACCTCTCCGGAGGTCGGCACCCAAAGCGCTGGTGCTCTGGAGCTGCAGCAGGGCTGAGGTCCACGGACTGAGCAGCTGGGCTGAGGACCACCGGCGAGACAGCTGGGCTGAGGACCATGGACCGGACACGAGGAGCTGGAGTCGGTCTGACTACCGACTGGACAGCTGGGCTGGGGACCATGGACCAGACACGAGGAGCTGGAGTCGGTCGGGCCACCGACGAGGGAACAGGAGTCGGCTGGGCCACCAACGGAGCTGATGTCGGTCGGACCTCTGATGAGGGACCAGCAACAGGTGTCGGTGGGACCACCGAGTGGAACCTGGGAGCAGGAGTAGGCCAGGGGTCGGGCAGGCGGCTAGCAGCACTTGCAGGCCAGAAAACAGGCTGGGGGCTGGAGTTCACAAAACTCTTGGCCCACCTTGGCAGTCGACGTCGCAGCCATGGCCTTGCGGCTACCTCCCAGTGAGCCTTAACGAGGGCAGCTTGCCGGGATTTGCGGCTTGACGCGAACTGCCAGATTGTCCGTAGTTCGGCCAAAACGTCCAAGAACCTCTCCCCTTCCATTTTTGTGTCTGCTGGGTCCACATTTGTTCGGGTCATTCTGTCACGGTTTGGTGTGGGTGAGGCAGGTTGGAGGACCCAAACACAGGACGCAAGGCAGGAAGAGGTATAGTACAAAGGGGTTTTAATGAACGAACCAAACGAGCACACTTACAGGTGAGTGGCTGAATACAGAGTCCAAAAACTCAGGTAGTCCAAACAGAGATCCAAAGGGAGCAGGGTAACAGGGAGACACGACAAACAACAGGGAACCATACATGACCCGACCAAGACAAGACAGAACACCAGGTATACACACACACACAAGGACTAACGAGCAGGGCGGGAGCAACACAGGTGAAGGACATGAGATTAACGAGGCAGGCAGAGAGAGACAGTGAATAGAGAGACTGACATGCAGGCAGAGTGACAACCGATGAACAGACGGAACACAGGTTACTGAACACAAAACAGACCAGAGTGAACACTTAACATGAACTAAGGTACAGGACTGGAACAAGGACAAAGAACTAAAACGCAGGAACAAGAGTTAAGGCAGTGACTAAGAACCATATAACAAGTAGACTCCCAAACCAAAGCAATATCAAAACAACACAGGACTACGAGCTAGAACACCAGACAAGACAAACACTAAGGACAAGGAAACAAGAACAGGTAAACAGAAGGACACCAGAAACCAATGGCAAAAACTACAACTCATGACATTTACAAGGGAGTCCTGTATAACACAAATAAAACACAGCACAACCATAAGTTGAAAAACAATATATTACATAAATTTAAAAACAATACAGATTTACACAAAGTGTACAAAATATTTAGATAGACAAAAATGCAATGTTTAAAATATTAAACAAACGAAATAATGACTAAATGTAGAGATCTACCTACTGTAAAACAAGTGAATACGTCCGTCAGATATTGTTTTTTAAAAGCAGCTATGGAAATTAGTGCACCGATATTAAGCCTAGACTGGAGTTCATTCCAGGTAAAAAGGGCCATAGTAGGACAGACTCCTCTTTCCTGCTTCTGTCCTCATTCTTGGTACCTTACACAGTAGTCCGTCACTAGATCTTAAATGATATGTACTTTGCACATGAACAAATTTTAAACAGATGTAAGAAGGCAAAAGACCTAAAATAGTATATAAATAAAAATGTACCAGTGTAGCATCCTGCCACTTTGAGTGACGGTCAATTTACCCTACTGTGTAAGATGCAATGATGTGTCTGATAGCAAGCATTTGTGATGAACCTGTATCCTGCAACCAGTTTTTTTCCATGTAGTCCTAAAAAAGCAAGATTTTAAGCGATATGAATGCCAGGGTAAATTTAAGTTTTTAGTAAGAGCTTCAATATGTTTTTTAAAGGTAAAACCTTTGTCCAGCCAGATACCCAAGTATTTATAAGTTCAATGGCTTCATCTTGGAATGAGCAAGAGCTGGGACTTTAGTATTTACAGGCACAAATATCATCGCCTTTGTCTTTTTGCATTTAAATGTAGCTTCTAATCAAACAGGGCAGATTGTAATGAGGCAAAGTCTAACTGCAAATTTGCGTAGCAGTATCAGGTGTAGGGGCACAAGAATACATAATTTTATCATCTGCATACAAATGATACTGTGAGTGTTTAAACTCACTGCAGACATTGTTTACATAGATGATAAAAGCAAAGGGCCCAGAACTGATCCTTGTGGGACACCCTTTTTAAAACAACAGGGTCAGATGTTCATTCCCATGCCTTACAATTTGCATCCGTTCAGAAAGATAACTGTGAAACCAATTTACAGCTCTGTGCCCAACACCAATATTCAACAGGGTTTTGATTGGTCTACAGTATCAAATGCCTTTGTAAGGTCAATGAACCAGCCATACAGAATAACTTATCAAAGTTATTCTGCCGCTTTTATGTCATCAATGACTTTTAAAGAGCCAGAAACTGTACTGTGGCCATCTCTAAAACCAATTGCATGTTGTGTAAGTATATTTTCTGAACCAAGAAAAGTTTTTAATTGATAGACACTAAAATTTCCAAAACCTTTGCTAAAACCTAAAGATTTGAGAAAGGTCTATAATTATTTGTGTCAAATGGATCCCCAGCTTTCAGTAATGGAGTGATGAAATAGGCACTGTATCTGTGTAAATGGAAAGGTTAAAGGTGTAAGTGAGTGGCTTCACTATAATATCTGCTGCCATTTTTAACAAAACTGGATTAAGTCCATCTGTCCCTGCTGCCTTCTTGGAGTCAATGCTCTGCAAAACGTGCAAA